GAGAACACCCACTTTCATGAGAAATGTGCTAAAACGCACCGAAAGTGCTGAAAAAAGGTTTAGGATACATTTGACCATTGACAAAAATACTACATGCATGCACCATCTTCCATCTTTTAGAGGCTTTTTTTGCACAAGAGTTTTAAAATTATAATGTTGCAGCTGAAGCAAATAGTAATATTGAAAGCAGACTGTGTGACATTTTGAAATTAGTCCTAACAAACACTGACTGATAATAATGGTAACGTTTTTTTAAGTATTCGATACAGTTTACAGTTTTGTTTGGTAACGGAATTTTTATTATTCGTCCCGTGAAAGCTGTTGGTAGTGGCAAATATGACCTCGTTCTTTTTTTAAAAGTAGTGGCACCTGCCGTTGAATACACATTACTTTGCTCTATAATGCACAGAGAAGGGAACTTTTAAAACTTCCGCTCTTGTTTCCACCGGTTTAACAAAGTTATCTTAGACCCTACACACCGCATGACCTATCTACGATGCGGAAACGCAGTTGTTACTCCTTCAGCTCCACTTAATTAACCAAAGATGAACAATTTTATAAAGGCTACATTTGAGGGATGGACGAAAGCAAAAAACGAGGGAATTAGTTAGTAGTTTCCATTCATTTTTAAAGCCTAGCTTTTTAAGAGTCTAAGCATTTTTCTTAGTTTTTCACTTATGAAGTTTCGGCAGTTGTGTTTTTTTCTTTACTGCTATTTGTCCTACGGAACTCTTTAGCGGGAAGGTTTAGGGAATGAGATTTCGGAATGGGGAGGAGGGCAGCGAGCCCATTTACCCTGAAATGAATTCGTCTATAACATATTGGTTTGGTCACGATTAGGGCAGGTGTTTACAGCTATAAACACAGTATAGTAAACTTTTACTTCTTCTTTGCAGACGGCTTTTCATCTCTTTTAGTTGAGTAGCTTCACCGGGAACAGGTCAGATGAAACTGCCCCTGCGCGAGTAGGGCCTGTTGCAAGATGCGGGGTCTGAGTCAACTTTGTTATATAAGGGCCGTATACGGAAATTACATAGCAGTAACAACAGCACAAGACGAATGGGTATCACAATCGTACACGATCAAATACACACTGGCGAAGATTAATTGATTGGCACTTTATTCCCCCGGAGCTTGAAACCACCAAGCCTATATACTACCTTCCGCTTTCGTATCTCCCGTCTAAATCGCCTCTTAGTGTAAACTTTCTGATCATAGTCCATCTGCCGACGGAAGTTACGTGCCGATCGCAGTTTACTAAATGCCTCCGCCGAGTCCTGATCAGCGCCCTTCGGTCGCTTCACGCAAAAGGCCGCTTTTCTAACACTCATTTTTCCCGAGTAACAGTTCCAGATGTGTATTTTACACAGCGGACAGATGAATAAGAGAAGTTTATTCTGAAGTGTTTTGTTATGTATGCAGTAGAGTGCAAGACAAGAAAGATACAGAAACAGTTATTTTGAAAGTAAAGGCAGACGAAGTCGAAAGCAAATTAAAGCGTTGTTGGGAATACGCTGGCAATGAGCGAAAAGAATTGTAGTGAGACACTAGTGATACTTAAGCAAAAAATGGAATCCTAGCTGACTTGCAAACTCTGAAATTATTCGTTGATCAACCGAAAAATTTTCAATTTTCAACTTTCCATAGAGTTTCAGATTGGTAGTAGCGCGAACTGAAACCAAATGAACTGCCATGTGTAATTGGTAACGGAGCACTGCACTGTATCTCCTTAATAAGGTTCATTCATAACCCCTATAAAAGTTTTAACTAGTAACCTTTCACCAAATCAAGCTGCAATATCTCCAAATACCACTGTGCTTGTGAGATGTTTAGCTGTCGGTTAGCTGTTAAATTCCTGACGGTATTTCTTATTGACAAACGTGTGTGTATAAATATTTGCGAAGAAACAGTACTTGAAGTGAAGCTGATGAGTTGCTAGATGTTTTTTTCATAATACCTGTTTTTGAAACATTTTAATCGGTATTCCTGAATCCTATTTGTAATACTATGATTAAAAAACCCTACGTTATTCCGTACACTAAATCTATTCCAGTGTCCACAGTACACATTGACCTGATTTATCAATGTTTTTACTCGATACACTATAAAAAGCGTTTGTCTAAAGTTTCATTTAAAACAACTAGTCTGTAAAGGAAATTTATTCAGATTGTGCTTTAAAAAGTAATTTAAAAAAATGCGTCATATCAATTGAACTACGTTTTTTTTTGGCACATTCAATTGCAAAACAAAAAAAATTCATATAATTCAACGTATTCAATAATTCAACGTACC